GGTGGGGGGGGGGGGGGGGGGGGGGGGGGGGGGGGGGGGGGGGGGGGGGGGGGGGGGGGGGGGGGGGGGGGGGGGGGGGGGGGGGGGGGGGTGCAAAAGCTCGCCCTCCTGAGATTTTTGGCTGCGCATTTGAACTGATCCTGAAATAGCATCTTGGAATGTATGAAGTTGAAAACGAATTTTTGTAGATCCTCGTAATTATAAATGATTTTACACGGTCATTAAACCCGGTCTCTTGTGTAGATATGATTAAAAATCTTATCTTTTATCAGGTTTCAGTGATTCTTATCTTTAATGTTCGTAGAAGTAGCATACTATAGATAGTTACCCTCGGAAAGAGGTTTTGCCACAGGTAAGATGACGATCAGTCACATTTCGAATATCCGGTAGTATACGTACGAATAATCATTTTCGGGTAATGTCGGATGTCGCTATGGAGTACGGTGAATCGTGTAGCCATGTGAGTGAATGTGATCGTGATTTATCTTCGAGCCAAGACATCGCTGATGGGTTTTTCTTGTGCGAGAAAATATTACGTGAAAGTAATGTCCTGATTGGGACAAGTCGCGAAACTTTTTCAAAAAAAGGGCAGCTCTTGGGCCACGAACTTGCTAAATGCTTCGTAGAGATTATCGAAAACTACGAATTTGAAGAAGAGACGGTCTTTATCGATGAAAACGAGGAGAGTGATCGAGAAACTGATGTCGATGTCGAAAAAAGTGCGTGTGATGAATGCAAATCGGGAAGTGACTGTGATGCTATGGAAGTGGACACGGATGATGAGCTATCGATAGACGATTCTGGTGTCGGTTTAGAAACGGATAGTAGTGGTGCGCCGCTTGTACCTTTTGATGTGAAGAAAAAAATCGTTGCCATCGCTGATGCGCATCCTAATTGGACGATTAAAACTCTGCAGCAGCGTGGGTGTGCCGCTTTGCAAAATAGAACGCAATTACACCGTTGGCGTAAACAGACAAAATCGGGAGTTCGGCGAGAAAAATATGCAGTAATTAATGAAAGTACCTATGAAAAATTCAAAGAGGCACGAGAGAGCAAGAGACCTGTTACTAGTGTTTCTTTGCGACAGTGGGCCGTAAACAGTGCGCTTAAAATTCGGGAAACTTCCGGGCAATTTTGTTTCAAAGCCTCCCGTTCGTGGCTTCAGTCATTTAAAAGCAAATATCGCATCAGGCAACGAAAAGTGACCCGATATGTGAAGTCAAAAAACGCTCTAAACGAAGAGGAAATTTTGACCAATCTCTCTAATTTCCAGAAGAGAGCCAAAAACTTAATCGGCAAATATGACCCGGATTATGTGTTGAATACTGATCAAACGGGATGCGAGTATCGGGTGAACGTGGAACGTACTTATTCATTTCGGGGTGAGAAAAGCACAGAAGTGTTCCTGGGTGATTTTAATAAAGTAACCCATTCTTATACGGCGCAATATGTTGTGACCGCGTCCGGTAAACTTTTGCCGAAAGTGTTTTTGTGCTTACAGGAAGCCAATGGTCATTTCGGTCCGCGCGTCCAAATTAACGTAAATAAAATGTCGGACGAATTCGGGAATGTAGTGTTAACAGCGTCAAAATCCGGGAAACTAACAAGTGGGCACGTTAAACTGTTCGCCAAAAAAATTATCCAGCCGTACGTCGGAGATAAAAATTTTCTTCTATTTCTCGATTCGTGGGGTGGTCAAACTGACTCGTCGCTTTTTCACGATTTTTTCACGAATGATTCAGGTGAGACGCGGAGTGCGATCGAAATCATACCTCCTCATTGCACCAAATATTGCCAACCGCTCGATGTGTTCTTCTTCCGGCAAGTAAAAATTATTATAACGCAATTGCAAAATTGTGAGGTTCTTTTGGAGGCAAAACGCGAAATTAACAGTCGAGCAGATGCCGTCAAAATTCACTCCCTCGTCCATCATCAACTTTCGTCGAGCATCTTTAAGGACATGATCTTATATGCTTGGTTCGAATCGGGTTTGACGGACCACAATCCTTATTTTGAGACGGTCACAGAGGCTTGCTTCCCCAAGGATATTTGGCAACAAGCATGTTTCGCGGATGACTGCGATAAGTGCGGGTTTATTCGTTGCGCGCGATGCCGCCGTTATGTGTGCTTCTCGTGCTTTTACGATAAATACCACCCAAAAAGTTGTGCTTAATTTTTTTTGTTCTTTTTTTCTTTTTATTTCCATAATTCTGAGGATATTTACTTTCTTTTAAAAAAATTTCCCCCGCATTATTCTTGCTTACTTAATTTTAATTGATTTTTTCGGTGAAACAACTCTATCTTTCGTATATATTAATTTTATTCTTATTAGTTTTTTTATCCTTTACATTGCTGTGACGTGTTTAAAGTATAAGTATAGCTGCGTGCACCGAGGAAGATATAGATTCGACTGATACTTTGAAAATTCAGCTTGGCAACGAAATTTGGTGAGTTTTAAAGTGTTTTGTTTCTTCAATTACATAGAACATTTCGATCCAACAGAAACTTCGATTTTCTATCAGCATATGTAAAATATCTTCAGTCACGACGTCTACCTCGTAAGTCGGGTGGCGGAGAGAATGGTGCAAAAAAAAAAGTAAGTGAAAAATAAACAAGCATAAAGTAAAATAAAAATTACGAGCCGGAAGCGAGGTTCGAACCTGGAGTCTCCCGTCCGTGAGGCGAGCGCGCTGCCACTCGGCCATGCGATGCTGATAGGAGACGGCGCTTCTGTCACCTATCTTTACCTTGTGCCGCTGGAAGCCGCCCGCACAGGGGGCTCCGCTCGCATGGCGCACGCGTTTTTTACGCATCTTTCGATTTATTTTTGAGGGCTTTCCCGGCCCCATTCGAAAAAACGAAAAAATACGGGTCCCCTAATTTCATCTCTAGTATCTTCATGCGAAATTTCAACTCGAAATTCCGGTTACACTTGGGAAGCTCCCCTTGTAAGTGTCCCCGATGCTTGGGCAAAATTTCAGGCCCCTCGGAAAATTAGGGGGGAGGGGGCAGGGGGGCAAAGTTGCAATTTTTTTAAAACTTTAAAAATCGATATCTCGCGAACGATTTGAGTGTAAGTGTTGCGGTTTACGCTAAAAAACGTCAAAAAATATTCTCTACAAGAATATTAATGCTGTTTGCAAGGTTGCGTAATTTATCGCGGTCATAAATCGATTTTTTCGATTTTGAAGGTTCGACTTTTTTTTGTTTTTCGTCTCTCCTATCTTTGGAATCATTGATACGTGAATAAAAACCTGTTGAGGTGATTCTCCATGAAATTCTGCATCTACCACACTTTGTTTAATCTAGGGGAAACGATTCGTTCGTGAGTTATAGCGATTTTTCTGCGCGTTATCGGTTACGCGCGGGCGGCTTATAGGCGGCGCTCCATCCCGCGCGGACAAGGCAGAGGTTGTTTCACCGCTAGGGCCTTATATTCATGCTGTAGACTGTAATTAACGATATTTTCTCCTCCCCCCACCCTTCCAATGCAATAAATCTTTGTTTAATACTTCGTTATACAGGGTATCCCAGACCACCCGTAACAGGTCTTTTTCTCGGTTGGTTTAGGTAGTACGAAGTGGGGGGCCGCGGGATTGAATAGGGAATTGACCCCAAGGAATCCGAATGTCACGGTCCCGAAACCCCCCATGCCCCCCTTGGGAGGTAAAGAGGGGGTCACGATCCCCAAAGTCGGGAGACATTGAGCCTCCCCCTTTTACCCCCCGAGGGTGGCTAGGGGGGCATCGGGACCATGAAATTCGGATTCCTTGGGGTCAATTCCCTATTCAATCCCGCGGCCCCCCACTTCGTACTACCTAAACCAACCGAGAAAAAGACCTGTTACGGGTGGTCTGGGATACCCTGTATAACGAAGTATTAAACAAAGATTTATTGCAGTGGAAGGGTGGGGGGAGGAGAAAATATCGTTAATTACAGTCTACAGCATGAATATAAGGCCCTAGCGGTGAAACAACCTCTGCCTTGTCCGCGCGGGATGGAGCGCCGCCTATAAGCCGCCCGCGCGTAACCGATAACGCGCAGAAAAATCGCTATAACTCACGAACGAATCGTTTTCCCTAGATTAAACAAAGTGTGGTAGATGCAGAATTTCATGGAGAATCACCTCAACAGGTTTTTATTCACGTAGCAACGATTCCAAAGAGAGGAGAGACGAAAAACAAAAAAAAGTCGAACGTTCAAAATCGAAAAAATCGATTTATGACCGCGATAAATTACGCAACCTTGCAAACAGCATTAATATTCTTGTAGAGAATATTTTTTGACGTTTTTTAGCGTAAACCGCAACACTTACACTCAAATCGTTCGCGAGATATCGATTTTTAAAGTTTTAAAAAAATTGCAACTTTGCCCCCCTGCCCCCTCCCCCCTAATTTTCCGAGGGGCCTGAAATTTTGCCCAAGCATCGGGGACACTTAGTACAACATCAGATCAAAGTTTGGGCCAAATCCAGGGGGGGCCAAAATCGGCGTTTTTGGAACAACCCCTTTCTGTTAAAAAATAAAAAATAAGAGGAAGGGAGGCATGCAGCTGTAGTACCTAGTGTCATCCTATAGGATAGTTAGGTTCATACGGGTTGAATGTGTCCAGTTCAATGGGAAAAAAGACACTATTTTTACCTGAAAAAGACATCCTTAAATTTTTTCCTTTTGCCTCGGGACTTTCACATAAATCACCATGATTATCCTGAGATTTACTCAATATTTGATTAGCTTTTAATAATTACTGACCAAGAATTTTGTTATTTTTCTGGGTTAGGTCGAATTCATTTGAATCTTGAAAAACTTCAAAAAGTCAAGAAAAATACTGCCTTAGTTCATAGATATTGGTCGCCATAAGACGCAAATACTGATATTGGGGAGGAAGATCATACTGACTCCTATCTAGCATTTTGCGAAAGATTTGTGGGACTGCTTTTCTATGGGTGTGAAGGAATTTTGCACTGAAAATATGGGGTCCAATAAGGGTGTGAATTTGCCACAGAGCAGATATGCTTCTGATTTTTGGCAGGGAAATGTCTACATACTTTAAATAGATAATAAGCGCTAAAATGAGTCCTAATGAAGAAACTTTAATTTCGGTGAAATTGCGTCAAGCCCCTAATGCCACCTGCCACCTGTACCTATCCTTCCGTAAAGCCATTCGCAGCTGATGTAAAAATACATCATCTGTGCATGAATGACAATTGGTGTGCTGAGTCAGTTTCTTCACTTTGGATTTTGAAAGAGTTATTTGTGATGTCGCTTTATTTGCACAGTTTTAATGAAGAGCTAAAAATCTTCAGTGCAGAATAATCATTCCTGAGAAGTGCATGTGATGTCACTTTCTGATATACCACTTACCGACATTAGCTTACCTTTCACTGATATCTTTTACAATCTTTGAGAACAATGTTGATGGACATTGTTTTGGGACAGCCATTGTTGTTAGAAAAGAACCCTTAATTTCGGTTTTACACAAAGCCCTTACAAAGAAAACACAAAAAAGATATGATAGGTTTAAATGTAGGAAACCACAAAGCCGAGGTGTTATTTAGATAATACAATTTTATTCAATCATTGCCGAAGCTTTTCGACCTTTATGGTCATTATCAAGGTAAAACTACAAGAAGCAAAAGTCACAGGCAAAGCAAAACTACTGGCAGTAAGCTACTAAAACTACAATCGCACAGGAAGTTAAAAAACATAGTTAAAAACATAGTTTTAAACATAGTTTTTAACTATGTTTTTTAACTTCCTGTGCGCTTGTAGTTTTAGTAGCTTACTGGCAGTAGTTTTGCTTTGCCTGTGACTTTTGCTTTTTGTAGTTTTACCTTGATAATGACCATAAAGGTCGAAAAGCTTCGGCAAAGATTGAATAAAATCGTATTATCTAAATAACACCTTGGCTTTGTGGTTTCCCACGTTTAAACCTATCATATCTTAACTGGTGTTACAGTGATTCTCATCACTATGTTCAAATAACACAAAAAAGCACTTATTTGAGGTTGAAAGTATTAAAGTTTTCCTTTCTTTTTCTCTGTTTATTTATCTAACTCCAATACTTCTTATTGTGTGCGAGAAAAGACATTTCTAGAAGCTTTGAATTGAACTGTGACCCAATTCGTCCGAAAAACTTCTTAAAAAATCTTATGCCTTTGTTCTATTGGCCTCAGCAGAAATTATAAAAACAAGAAAGAACTTCAGGGAACAACTGAAAAACTCCAAAACCAAGATCTAAAACATTTTTTGCTATAATTTCACAAACAACATATGTCGGTTTGACAACAATTAAAATTGATGCCCAAAATCACTTTCCTTGCGTCAAACTCATGGAACCACGGAAACACAATGGGGTCACGCCCTTCAGGACGACAGGATATGAAATGTATTAATTTTAGAGAAAATTACTTACCCAAGCTCAGGATAGATTCCTTCACAACTTTTACAGGCATTTTCCCTTTTGCAGTGTCCAGCTGACTGTCTTCTAGCCTATTATTAGGGCTGAGCAAAGGTTCATTTTTTATTTTAGGTGTATTATTAGAACAGTGGATTGCTGATTCATTTACGCTGAGTTCTTTGTCATCTCCAGTTTTTTTCCATACTGGTGAAGAAGCTCTACAGGGGAGAACAGGAGTATGACTGGGAGAAATCTCTGACTGCCCCAATTTGTTATCTTTAACACCATCAGGACTATCTGTTGTACTGCTAGTGGCAATAGTGGCGTATGATTCTTTTTTTACATCATTATTTACAACAGCCTTTGCGTCTTTCTTCACTTCTTCTAACTCTTTTTTCTCTTTTTCAGCAGTTGCCTCTAAAAGCTTCAGCGCTTTTTCTCGATTTTGCCTATCCTTAACAAGTTCAGCAAATAAACTTGTTTGACCAATATTAACTTTGGCGCTGATTTCATGGAACTTCTGCATGGAAGGACTTGGCGAACGATTTGGTCTACCTCGTTTTGGTGATCCAGACCAAGATGCTGAGGAAGATCTACCTCGCCTTTTACTTCGCGAAAAACTTGGTGATCTACTGTAGCGCCTTCGTAGCCTACGTTCTGTTGAGCGACTTCTTGAGCGTGACACTGATCTCCTTCCTCTAGAAAATGATTAATATATTAAAATCAAGGAGCAGGAACAGATCTATTAAAGTTAACTGAACTAATGAAAGATTAATTATTGTCATTGATAGCTACATCAAATATTTATCATCATATTATGTGCTCATTGAGTCTCACATGCAAATCGAGAGAGCTCATATGTGATAGTAATTTATTGTCCAGATTATTGTTGAAAGTGAAACTGCTCGAACATAACTTTTTCCTTGAAAAACTGATATCAAAGAATATATTGAACACTTTATGAATGGATTCAGGGCTGGAGAAAGGACCCCGCACACTTCTTATGGAAAGCTGCACCATGAAGAAACCTTAATTGTTTTTCACCATTCGATTCTCCTCAAGAAGCTGATCAAAAGTAATCATTGCGCCAACTTTCTACGATGCACCGTTTTCGCAAAAAACGGCCGAGAGGATTCAATTATTCGGCGATATTGAATGAAAGAGAACAAAGCATTCGAGAACAGACCCGATGTAAATAAGGAAAAAACGTAGCTCGTGTCCGTCTTCTTATCCGTACCTGCCGACTCAGGGGCTATCTCCCTCCTGCTCTCGTCCGGTTGACGTTCACTGTTTTTCTCCGACTTTCTTGTTTTTATGCTCCTCAAGGATCTGATTTGGATGGTCGAGCAAAACGGCGTGCGGAATCCGAGATAAGACTGCCGGTCGGTGCGGGAGTTCCCCTGATTTCCTTGTTGACACACAGCACTCGAGTGCTGAAATGAGGAATCTTTCTGGCTTAATACCGCCGAATAATTGAATCTTCTCGGCCATTTTTGGCGAAAACGGTGCATCGTAGGAAGTTGGCGCAATCATAACTTTTAATCAGCATCTTGAGGAGAATCAAATGGTTAAAAAAAATTACGGTTTCTTCATGGTGAAGCTTCTCATAAGAGGAATGCAGGGTCCTTTCGATAATCTTTGTTATGACATTCTCACTGTAATCAAAGAAAACTAAGCTTTAAAACCAGAACTAGCTAAATATACTTGCAGAAAAGTAAAGATTTTAATGGGCAATTTTTGATGGAAATGTTGCAGCACTGAAAGATCAGTAGTCAAAGACAGCTCTTCCTCATTGCCAAAGGCGTCGGATGGATAACATTCACTCTTGAATTCTTGCAATTTTTGATAGCTAACATGACTAGAGGGACCAATTTTAATGAATTAAATAAAAATTAGCAAGTTCCATAACCCAGGAATGCAAATTGTTTCAGGCCTTACTTATCGATTTCCTGCAATGCACTTGGTTTTTGCAAAAATCTCAACACAACGCCCTGATCAAAAGGACTCTATGCACGGACCCCCCAGATTTGCCCGTTTCAAAAGTTAACGAAATTCATACCAGTGATAGAGGGGCACTTCCGGTCTCCAAATCCAGGGTTGGTTTAGTCCCCAGCCCCCCGAGTGCGACGTTGCCATTTCTTAAAGTTGAAACATGTTAAACCCCATAACTTTTGAGCAATTAAAGATACGAAGGTGCGGTTTGTTTGAGTTGATAGAACATAAAAAGAGCTATCATTTCGTATATAGATTTTATCCATTGTTGCCAAATTTACCCAAAAATCGACCATTTTTCAATTTTTTCAAGGTGCAAAAATACGGTTAACCTAAAAGAGTAGGTATTGGGACACCACGTAGGAAAATAAAAAACACGCGTAATTAAACCCCTGAATGTGAGCTTTCCAACGGTATATCGGTTTTTCCGAGAAAACGATTCTATCGCGAGATACAGGCCTTCAAAGTTCGACTTGGCGTACTTTTTGAGGTCCCCCGTCATTCGCACCACAAGAAATCAGTACTGCGCACGCACATAGGAAAATGAAAATGACATGTAATGAAAGCCCTTTGTATGGGCTTTCCAACGGTATATCGGTTTTTCGAGAAAACGATTTTATCGCGAGATACAGGCTTTCAAAGTTCGACTTGGCGTACTTTTTGAGGTCCCCCGTCATTCGCACCTCAAAAAATCAGTACTGCGCAGGCACATAGGAAAATGAAAATGACAAGTAATGAAAGCCCTTTGTATGGGCTTTCCAACGGTATATTGGTTTTTCCGGGGAAACGATTTTATCGCGAGATACAGGCCTTCAAAGTTCGACTTGGCGTACTTTTTGAGGTCACCCGTCATTCGCACCTCAAAAAATCAGTACTGCGCACGCTTATAGGAAACTGAAAATGACATGTAATGAAAGTCCTTTGTATGGGCTTTCCAACGGTATATTGGTTTTTCCGGGGAAACGATTCTATCGCGAGATACAGGCCTTCAAAGTTCGACTTGGCGTACTTTTTGAGGTCCCCCGTCATTCGCACCTCAAGAAATCAGTACTGCGCACGCACATAGGAAAATGAAAATGACATGTAATGAAAGCCCTTTGTATGGGCTTTCCAACGGTATATCGGTTTTTCGAGAAAACGATTTTATCGCGAGATACAGGCTTTCAAAGTTCGACTTGGCGTACTTTTAGAGGTCCCCCGTCATTCGCACCTCAAAAAATCAGTACTGCGCAGGCACATAGGAAAATGAAAATGACAAGTAATGAAAGCCCTTTGTATGGGCTTTCCAACGGTATATTGGTTTTTCCGGGGAAACAATTTTGTCGCGAGATACAGGCCTACAATGTTCACTGTAGCGGTTCAGGTCCTATTAAATATTACATGAAACAGGGCACTAAATATAGACAGTTACCAACCTCATTTATAGATTGCTTAATTTGGGTGAAAAAATTAATAATGAGAATATCTGCAGTGTCAAACCACATTTTTGGATAAAAAATGTAGAAATACCAAAAAAGAAAAAAAAAGACGGACTTACGTTACTCATCCTGTTCAGAATTGACATCGCCCTCCGATGCGTCGTCTTGGTTGTCCCGTCTTTTCATCATTGGAAAACAATCTTGCAGAAATGCAGCCGGTGACTCGAGGTCTTCCAAATGCCGACCAAAGAAAAGGTACCACACAATAGCCACGACATGCGAGCAAGGACACACTGTCCTGGCCCCATTGAGACATGTGCAGTAGCTGCCAACAACAGCTTTTGACGAAGAAGTGGCTGCGTCGATCAAGATGAAAATGTTGTACACTTTATTTGATTTATGCCGCGACACTTGTTTTGCTTTCACAAATATAGGGCTCTGGAGGGTTAAGTTGAGCGCGCTGAAGTTTGGCATTAAGTCGTCTTTGCTAATATAAAACTGGTTATCGCCAGCTTTATTAAAGTGGTCTGAAATGTAATTTTTTGCCCATTTAAGCTGATACGGCTCCGCAAAAGATTTCACAATTTCGGGGCTCCACGCTGTGATCTGCTCGAAATGACTAGAATTCATGATCTGAAACTGGTTGGTTCGCCGAATCAAGTTTCCTTCCTCCACAACCCCTTGGATGATGTTGGGTGTGTTCAGATGTTGGAGCATTTTGACAGCAACCTGCGGATCGTCACCATCACTACTGAGACGTTTGAAAAATGCATTGTGGACAGCGGCAGCAATTTTGACGTCATCATAAAGATGAGGCACTCCCAACGCCGGGATTCGAGTCTTAAAGTATTTAAATCGTTAAAGGGAACTGTTCACCCGCCCGGCAAGGGAGCAATGTGTACGTTGCCGCAACGTCGCAAGGCAACATTTTTGATGATATTGCTTTGTAAAGGTAAAGCAGCAACGTTTAAACAATGTTTCAGCAATGTTGCCTGACATTATATTTTAGACAATATTTTCAAAACGTTTTTAGAAATGTTTCTGGAACATTATTAAAAAACGTTTCAATAAATATTTCTTAGATATATTGTGACAACGTTGTTAAACATTATTAGTCAGGGAGAAACACGATTTGACCCGGAACAAATTGCTGAACAAACTTTTCCTATGTAAACGTCATCAGTAGGTCCTCCTGAACAACATACCAAAAGTTTACCACGGTCCGACCCCGGAACACCCCCCAAAATGCCTAAATTTCAAAATGGCGGCCATAATAAGGCCTCTGGGATTTCGGTTTTTTAAAATGCGCATATAGTGTCATGTGAGGTATCAATCCCTGTGTAATTTTGGTCGTAGAACTCAGATATGAGGTCAGGCAGATGCTGTGCTGCAAATCGGAGGGGACACTTTTACACTGTTTCAGGTGTTCTCCTTTCTGTTGTTTCTCAACAGATGATTTTCTCCAATCAATATAAGGGAATGCGCCCTCATACAATGTCGCAAAAATATGTATATGTATATACAAAAATAAACAAAAATTAATTGATAGATAATTCAAAAAATAAAAAAATTAACAATAAAAATATACAAATGAAGATAAAATTAAAAAAAATAAAAAAATAATTTAAAAATAAAAAATAAAATAAAAAAAATAAATATAAATAATTAGAAAATAATTTAATACAAAATAAAAATACCAAATAATTATAATAATAAAAATAATTATAATATAATTAAATAAATAATTAAAATAATAATAATTTTATTTATATAAAATGAATATATTTATTCAATTCTTTTTTAATTTTTTTTTCATACTCCTTTTTTTTAAAAACTTGATCTTCCTAATATTATGTTCAGTATCCTTCGTTGTAGAATTATGCACAGAAATGCAAGAATATCATTGCTTTCTATCATTGAACCAGATCTAGGGATGTTTATTAATGCTAAATAACCAAACTCTATCACGCGAGCGTCCGTAGCTGAGTGGCAGCGACACACGGGCGATCACTGAAGTTCAGCAACGTCGGGCGTAGTTAGTACTTCGATGGGAGCCCGCTTGGGAACCCGGGCGGAGCGCGGCTACTATCGGACTTAGAGTGAATTTCGGGTGCCTAAGAAACGCTTCTCTGCGGTCCACATTGAATTCTAGGAGTAAAAATGCAGAGTACTCCTAAAATAAATCACCGAAATTTTTTCACCGTATTTTTGCAACATTCCCATTATGTTGCTAAAACGTATTTTTGCAACATTCCCATTATGTTGCTAAAACACATTGCAGACACATT